GTATCACCTAGAAGCTGCTGGACTGATTTCTCATGATCCCTTGCTATTTTTGAGAAATGTTTCTTTTCCTGGTTACTAATGCAAGTGTCTTCAATATTTGAGATCCTATCCTCACATTGGGCTGATCTGCTTAGAATACTCTTCATGGAGTTTTTATTCTGAATATCTACTTGAATCTGCTTTAGGATTCTATTTGTTTCCAGAGAAGCTTTTTTATTTTTTGGGTACTGGGGATCAAACTCATGACCTCGTGCTTGCCAGGAGGCACTTTTGCCCCTGAGCTAAATTCCCAGCCCCTTCCCATTCGTTTCCTATGCTGAACTTCCATGATTTGCTTAAGCTTGTCTTTTTTTTTTTTTTTTTTTTGTCTCTGACTGCTCTAACATTACTAAGCATGGTATATATTTTGGTAATCTCTGTAGTTATCCGAAAGATTATTTCTGATTTCATTCTTTCCAGAGGCTCATTCAGTTGCTTTGTTGTTACCATTTCAGAGGCTTGATGGGGGGCTTTTGGGTTGTCCTACTTCATTATTCCCTGGATTTGCCAGATGTCTGAGGTTGCATTTTGCTTAAGGGTCTTCTCATTTTATTTTCTCTCTTTTTGTTAGTTTAATTCCTGCAGTGAGGCTTGTAAGTTGCCTATGCGGGGTTGCTCAATTGGTAGTATTTAGGACCCTCAGGTGATGATTATTTCTCTGAAGTATCTTCCAGGTTCTAGCTACTTTTTAGGTTTTGAGTCTGTTAAAAGATCTTCTTCAGTTTGTTGGAGATGATGTTAGAACAATTATGTCAATTTTGGCTATAGTGGAACCAATGACATGAAACAAAGCCTAGAACACAACAAACTGAGCTAGCCCTTAATTTGCAACTTTAACCATATGAACTAGGTTTGTGATTATGTAACAAAATGTAAAACAAACCAGATAATTATATGTAAGTCTGTAATGTGTCTATTTTGCCTGTGGGGTTAAAATTTAAAATGAATTAAAGAGAAAATAGAGAAGTGGAAGAAGAGAGATTACAAATAAGACTGGAGGACAAAGGGGAATCACACAAACTCGGGGAAATTGATGCAGAAGACTAAAACAGAGATAAAAGGAAGAACAAAACAGAATCACACTCACAAAGAAGGAGCCACTTTCACACTCATAAATAAACAATGAAGGAGAAAGAGAAAAAAAAATTCCACTTCCAGGATTCTCTCTGATTCCTGAATCATGCCAATCTGTCTCAGCAAGTCAGCAGTTGCTTTATGGCAGAATAGTGGATACCCTCATCAGGCCTGCCTTGAAACCACACTCACTGGGCTTGCTGCAGTCCAAGCAATTTCCACAGGCCTGCACACAGCTGAGAATTTCTGGAGGAAGCCAGCAGCAGTTCTGGGTACTGGGTTTATCCCACTTCATTCCAAAATTGCTCCTGGCTAATCATTGTCTCCCTGCAGGAGGAGGACTAAGTCCACTGCACTCACCACCAGCCAGTGCAGTCCTCTATGTCTGCTGCTCCCCTCCACTGCCATGTCTTTCTTCAGAGACCTCCAGGGTTGCCAGCTGATATCATCACTGTGACCATGCATGTCCCCAGGTTTAAACGAAAGAGAGGTTGTTTTCTCTGCTGCTTTCCTCTCCGTCATCTTCCCAGAAGTCTCTATTTTATATATTTTTGTACTAATCTTTATTATTTCCTTCCTTCTGCCTGCTTTGGCTTTAGTTTGCTCTTTTTCTGCTTCTCAAAGAGGAGGGTTGGTTTATCAAATTGCAGTCTTCTTATATAATGTGCGTATATGCAGGAATGAATCTCCCATAAGCACAGAGTTGCCGCACAGCAAAGTGTTTGCATCTCAAAGTACTTTCTAATTGGCCTGGTGATTTTCTCTTTGATCCAGTGGTTCTTAAGGAGTGTCTCCTTTGATTTCCAGTTATTTATGGATTTCTCACTTTTTCTTCTGCTATAAATTTCTAATTTAACTCCATTGTGACCAAAGAGCCATCCCATATGATTTTAGTCCTTTTGAAGGTGTTGAGCCTATCTGTATGACTTAGCCTTGATCTGTCCTGGAAAACTGTCTTAGCCACTTCTCTCATTCCTGGGACAAAACACCTGACATTCACAACTTAGGGGAAGACAGGTTTATTTTGGCTCACGTTTCAGCTCAGTCACCTGGCTCCTAGGCAGAACATGGTGAAGGAGCATGATAGAAGAAGCCCCTCAGGCATAGTAGACAGGAAACAGAGAATTAATGGGCTTAATTTTGGTTATTTGTATATGCACATAATATACTTTGATCATTTTCACATATGCACCCCATCATTCTCTGTGCCTTAACTCCCTACTAGCTTCACTTTTTTTTCTCTCCTTTTAAATTTCATTTTGAGTCAGAATGTCACTAAGTAGCCTTGAGCTTTCAATCCTTTTGACTCAGCCTCCAACGTAGCTGATATTACAGGCATGGAACACCCAATATTTATACTTTAGCCAAAGTTTCATAGTTGTATTTTAAGGTTTTCTGCATATTGAGTTTTAAACAGGAAGATTTATTAACCTACTTTTTTTTTTTTTTTTTGTGGTACCGGGGATCAAATTCACAACCTTGCACTTGCCAGGCAGTACTTATGTTGCTGAGCTAAGTCCTCAGCCTGTAACCCATTCTCTCTTGGTGTCTTACTTTTTACTCGTTGCTGAGACAAAATATCTGATGCCCAAAGTTGGGAAAGGAAAAGTTTATTTCTTACAGTTTTTGGAGGTTTCAGGGCCACAGATATAAACCATGACACTTGGCTTCCAATTTTTAAGAAGTAATGTTTTTAATTAATGAATTTTACATTTTAGATAAGATAAATGAGCACAGGTTGCTTATTTTGATGTGGAGGAATGTTGAGTATTAACTCACAATTTCAATAAATTGTACAGATGGTAAAGTAACCCTAATCCATATTGTCAATTTTGATATTTAAAGTACTTATAGTTTTTATCTTATTTAGAATATTAAAATAAAAGATTGGTGTTGAGAGTCCAACTTAAAAATGTGTAATTAAATAATTAATTTATCCTGAAATTTTGCATTTGAAAGGGAGTTAATATTGTAATACTAATGAGAATATGTCATACTTATTCATTTATTAGATTAGAATTATACAAGTGCTCAAGAATGCCCAAAACTCGTAAAGTTATGTAAACCAAAACCACAAAGCAATTATTAGTACTGGGAAGTTCAGGGGAGGTTGTTCAAGAAAAGAAATATAATTGATATTTTTATAGTGTAAACTAATAATAGTAATCATTGCATAATTATATTGAGAGGCTAAGAGGAATAGAGGAGTCGGGTAAGAGCTAAATGACAGATCATCTTCCATGATGAAATAGATACAGAAACTGGGCATGGTGGTGCAAACGTGTAATCTCAGCACTCAGGAGGCTGAGACAGGAAGACTGCTGCAAGTTCAAGACCAGCCTGGGCTGCAAAGTGAGCTCAAAGCCAGCTTGACTTGCATACTGAGATCCTATCTCAAAAAGACAAAAACAAACAAACACTGAAATAGATACATAAAATAAACATTAAATCAAGTATTGGAGAATGAGGATAATATTTAGGGACAGAAAGTATGTACTAGAAGAGCAGAGTAGCTCTTTCTAGAAAGTGAGAACTAGAAGTAGGAAAGAGTAGACCTTTGTAAACATTTGTATCACTTTTTCATAAATACTATATACAAAAAGGTTTATTCTCTGTTCCCTGTGATTTTCATAGGACTATAAAAGCACACAGTACAAACAACACTGATAACAGCAGCCTCTGTGTCCAGGACAGGTGGTGCCAGGGCTTTGGGCTTCCACATTTCCAATGCAAATGAAAGATGTGAATCTACACCAGCATTAGCCTCAGCTGCGTGGGGGAACAATGGTCACGGTATGTTTGGCAGCTGTCATCAGGCAGTGCATGCAGAACAGATCCTTTGTAGCACAGCAGCCACAACAGATAGCACAGAACAAATCAGGATGAAGGAAGAGAAAAATGCCAGAGTACACCTAAGACATTTCTAAGGATTTCACAAAGTTTTGGGGGGTGGTGTTTGAAGAAGAGTAGCCAGGCCCCAAGAAACTGATTGACTATTGCAGAAGCAAAAATTGATGTTTTGCCTTGCATTCACTATGACTAAGGATTTTGTATAAAAAAAAAAAATACTTTGCACCCTAAGGTAAACAAAAAAAAAATCAAAACAAAGCCTCCCAAAATCCAGTTTTTGTTCTTCTTTTTCTTCTTCTTCTTCTTCTTCTTCTTTTTTTTTTTTTTTTTTTTTTGAGACGGCGTTGCTATGTAGTTCAGGCTAGCCTGGATTCACTAAGGAACCCCAGGCTGGCCTTGAACTTTTGACAATCACCTGCCTCAGCCTCCTAAATTCTGGGATTACAGACATGTAGCACCATACCTGGCAGCTCTTCCTTTTCTAAGTGTTGCTGTCTGTTACAGTTTTTGTCTGGATGGCACCCACAAAAGACTCATGTGGTTTCAGGGTGGGAAGGGGAGCTTTTTAGAGGTAGCAGAATCTAGAGTTTATAATTGCTTCATTGTCTAGTGCTGGAATTGGGCATGGAAACACTACACCTGCCCCTAGGGCAGGTAACCTACATACAATATAAGGCAGGAAAAGAGGTTTACTCTTCTCCTTTTGTTCTTGTTGCTTTTGCAGTCTTGTGCCAGCGCCATGAACTACTGCCCCTCTGCCATGCCATCCTACCTTGGAGCCAGCTGATTGAAACCTCTAAAAACTGTGAGCTAATTAAACTTTTCCCCCTTTAACTTTGGGTGTCAGATATTGTGAGTCAGGAAAGAGAGAAAAGTAACTAAGACACCATCTCTAAATTTTCCTTTGATACTGATGTTGAAGCAGTTACCTTACCTACCAGGTACAGCCTGTATTACTTAGGAAATACACATATTTTTACAAAAGATACAATGATTATCTGCTAGAAAAAGTTACTATATAATTTTACATTACTTACTCAGTACCACTTTTGATGCCAAAATCAGATAAGTCTTCATTTTCAGAAGTATACTTGCCATAACATTCACTCATCAAAGATTGAAAGGATGAATAGACTTTGCACGTATTATTGCGAACTTTCAGCTGCCGAACTCTGGGGACTCCAAGAAGAATGTTCTCATAGTAGATGCGACTGCTGTTTTTTACATTATACAGCTTTTGGTCATTGTACCATGTGTCCCAGTACAAACCTTCCAAAAGAGGTCCTTCCATAAACTTCACATAGAAAGAGAAATATCTTGAGAAAATATTTTCATATCAACAAAATTATATTTATACATTATACCTGAGAGATTTTGAGCATGAAAATTATCAACCATATCACCATTAGTATTTTTCTTTATCATATCGGGGATCAAACTCAGGACCACATGCTTGCAAGACAGGTGCTTATGCTGCTGAGCTAAATCCCCAGCTACCTACCATTATTATAATGGTGATAATATATAGTCCTTTTGGTAGCTAACACTTCCTAGGGCTCACTGTGTAACAGGTGCTCTGAGCACTTCATAACTATTAACTCACATGTCTCAAACCCTGTATCTGAGTCCATTAAAAATTGCCCTCTGAAAGGTGAGCATCAGAACTGGTTATAGCCAAATACCATGACTTCAACTTATAACTATCTGCATTCCCCGTTCCCCAGTCTCCTTCCACAACTCTGGCTGTGTTGATTGCTACTCCTGGCTCTGAGTCTTTCTGCTCATTCTGAGAGGCCTCAAGCCCAGAGGTCGCTATTTTTTGCCTCATCTTCTTTGGCCATTTACATGCCTTTAGACTACATAGTAAATAAATGCAGATTGAGCCTCCTTTCTTCTAGTATTGTTCATGTTTCATGAAGTCTAAACCCGACTTCTGATCACTTAGCCTTTATCTCACACTTGTCCTTTCCCTTTGTCTCCTTAGTAAATTTTAAATTTCTAGCATGACATTCTTGCTGACCTTGTCCAAATCACAATTTGGCCTTTTCTAGCCTTTTCTACTTAACCTTCCATGTGCCCACAGTGCCAACAGCTCTACATGTAGAATAGTTTACTGGACATATTGTCCCTTATTCCTAGAATGTCCTTTCTTTATTCATCCTTTAAAACTGAACTACATTATCATCACTTCTGAAAGCCTTCCTGTTGGAGACCACTACGAAGCAGCTCTGAGCAGAATTTAAAATTAACTAATTGGCTTTATATGTTTATCTGTGAGCCTGTCCTATGTCTCAGCCCTTTGCCTGGCGATGGAGCTGATTCATATTAAGTGAACCTCTATGAATCATTGGTCCTGGCTGAGGCCTGTAGTGGCCCGAGAGGCCAGAGATACCTCAAAGGGCACAATAAGACCACAAATGCAGACACTTGGCTCAAACATCAATTAAGTAGATAGAGACTGTAGCTGCAGGAATCATTCCTACAGTCTCACTCCTACCATGTCTTCATGTAAGACAGTTCTACTAAACAGACTTAATTCATGACTTGGAGCTGTCCTTGAAGTGACTCCCAAGGTCCTGCTCATTGACTGCACTTTCCTCGGTATTCCTGCCCTTTGTTGTTGGACCTAATAAATAAAGTGAGCAGTGCACTCACTTTAAGAAGTCTTTGTCTTAGCCCTCAGATTCTTAATCTCAACTAAAGGGTTTTGACCCTCCTGGAATCATACCCTAAAATCATACCACTTGTCACATTTTATTTAAGCCTCTACTGTACACTCGTTTGGGAGATCGGGGATCTAGGTCAGGACCCCATACCTTCCCTAACTGCCTTATCCTTTATTCCCAAATGTTTGTGACACAAAATACCTGAAATTGCTGTCCCCTTAATTTTCTCTCTTTAGGAGATTCTTGCCATATCAAGTGTAACCAAAAAAAACCCCACGTTTATTCTACTGCTGAAGCAGTGACTCTTTTATGTAATTATATAAACACTACTGCACCAGTTGATCTTAATTGTCAACTTAACTGGATTGAGATTGCTAGAGAGGTGACAGGATTGTGACCCAAATCTCATCAATAGGCCAATGCTTTGACAACCCACAGTTGATTGGGTCATCAGGAAGTGAGTCCGAGGGGTGTGACCTGGGGGACTATATCTCATCCTGTACCCCTTTCTCTCTGGCTCTTTCCTTGCTTTCTGCTTCCTGGATGCCCTTTCTTCCAGCCCTTCTGCCTTCATGCCTTCTGGATTCAGCTAACCATGGACTGAAATCTCTGAAACTGTCAGCCAAGACAAATCTTTTATTCTTTAAATTGTGTATGTCAGGTACTTTGTCCCAGCAATGGAGAAGTGACTAATACAACTATAACATTATATTATTTCTATATACTGCACATTACTGTAACACACACACACAAAAGTTATACTGAAATATGTCTATTATACTCTCTGGTTCATTAGTTACTAGTATGTATTTTATATATACACTTATAGACTGACGTTTTAATCTCTTCTTTTTTATAAAGCTGGAAACCAAACCATAGGCCTTACAAATGCTAAGTAAATGCTCCACATCCCCTGCCCTTTATAGACTGACATTAAGCCCTAACCTTCCATAAGCAAGTCCTGCATTTTTCAAATGACTCAGGAGTGTTTAAAAGGTATTTCTTAAAGTTATATAAGAACAGTACCACACTATGAACATACATACTCAGTAAATGCTAAGGGTTGGTTGATTATAATAGCTTAAGGAAATGATACCCATTCTTACTCATTCTTCAACGAATGAATATTCCCTGCTTACCGTGTGTCCCAAGGGTTTACGGAATACCTAAAGCTACTTAATCCATAGTTGCATACCTTACCTTCCAAAAATCAGTTATGCTGCGAATAGATTTAAAGTTGGTTCTTTCATCACCAGGTACAGAAGTATCCAAAAACAGAGATGACATAACTTTGTTAAAGTAATACATATGTGGATTTACCATGCCAAAAGTCACTAAGGAGAAGAATTATTTTTGTTTAAAAACTTACATTTAAAAACTCAGTTTATCAGGATTAAAAATGTTACAATTCATTCCCAGTTTTGAAAATTCAACTTTGTCTAATTATAAAAGTAACACTCACAAAAGAGGACTTACAGAACTGCTTCAGAAAGTGGTTAAAAAAACGATGGGATAAGTGTATTTGAACTTAAGGGGGAGTATTTTGAGCGAGATTAGTAGTAATGTGTCTCTTACAGTAATACATTTTTAAAAATTTAAACATTCAAGGAATTATTTTTGAAATAGATGTACCAAGAAAAAAGAATAATTATATTTAATTAATGTGGACTATGGAAGCTTTTCATCATATCTATGACCTAAAGTTTTGTCCTCTGTGTAAATGTGGTACTGGGAATTGAACCCAGGGCCTTACACATGCTTGCTTACATCCCCAGCTTTTTTCAATCTTACTTTGAAATATGGTCTCTCTAAACTGCTGAGGAAGGATGACCTTGATATTCTTGCTTCAGCCTCCCAAGCAGCTGTGATAGACACGGGATATCATGTTCAGCAAAGTTTTAACCTTTAAAAACTGGAAATAGTGTCAGTCAAATGTGTCATAGGCTCTAATCTGACAGCCTATGATTTTAGATCCCATGTTTTCTCATTTCTACGTTTTAACTTCTAGTTCAATCAGTATCTTTATATTTGCATACTTACATATACATAGGTTTATTAAAAAAATTAAGTAGAGTAACAACTCCTGAAGTGTGGTTCTAACTTCTGTTTCTTTTCTGTAAGGCAGCTTTTGTTTCGAAGTCCCTGTGAGATACAAAACGAAAATTTCTGTGATTATGTAATTTATAATGTACAGAAGCAACAAAGATAGAAAAACACAACCGATTTTAACACATGGTGCAAAGGAATGCTCTAGGGACTTGTTCTCTTTCAATTTTCACGGAGCAGGGAGTCTTTCCCACGTAAGTGGGCAGTTATTTTACGGCCACATACACGAACAGGCTTTATAACACGGATGTCTCCTCACCAGCTCAGTCTTAACAGTAAAATAATAACAACTCCTTTCTCTGTTCCTAATCGCTCTGCTCACTGACAGCACAGCAGCCTGGGAAGGCTAGAGGCGTGATGGGTCCGGGGGCTCGACCCAGGGTGCAACCCCTAGACCAGCAGAGGGCCTGGCACCGCGGTCAGGCGTATGGCGGGATCCTCGGCTGGGCACAGTGCGAGCGCTACGGGTCTCCTCGGGGCTTCATCTTCCCTGTCTGGGAAATGGGACCCTCTTTTGGCTTCTCCAGGCAGGTGGTGAGGGCTAAAGTGCTGGCGGTCATTATCTCTTACAGAACTGTAGATGTGAGGCTAAAAAGCTCCTTCTTATCTAGAACTGTTAAACTGGCCCTGTAGCACTGTCCTCCAAGGGCGTCGCTCTCACCGTCTCTGTACCAGTGAGACGCCTCAACCATGGCGAACCCGCACTACCCCGCCCAGAGGACGGCTCGCCTGTCGCGCCTGCGTAGTAGTCCCGCGCGCGTGCGCGTGCGCGTTACCCAACCCGTGCGTCTGCGCGAGCCCGCAGTTTCTACAGCTCCGAACCTCCGATGCTGGGCGTGCAATTAGAGCGCGGCTAGGCCCCGCGGCACTGTTTCTGGCAGTTTGTTTTATAGCGCCCTTTCTTGCAAACGAGAAGGAAATCAATCTTACCGCTGATACTAATAACAGAAAAAGAGTCGTGGTTCACTTCTCTTTGTGCCAATTTCAGTTTGTCCTGTTATTGCTGGAGTTCTTAAAAATAACTGAATCAATAAAACCACAAAAACAAGCTCCAACTTGATCTAAAAGTACCAAATGTACTCACAAGTCAGCTTAAATAGATACAGTTTATGTAGCTCATAGTTTGATTTACAGAGAATTCACTTGCAGGCCGGATTCAGGAGATGAGAGGAGTAAGATACTTTCTCACGTTTTCCACTGTTTTTTTCTTGGTAATGAAAATACTTTATTCTAGTTGCAAAAATAATATGGAAAAGTAATGCACATTTGTTATCTTTTTAAAAGTTTTAATAACTCATTATTAAAACAATTCATTATTTTAAAAAGTCTTAAGAACAGAAAGATGTATACAAAAAGAATAAAAATCATCTGTATTCTCTCTAATGAGGGACCCAAACTTTTTTTCTTTGCCTATATACACTTTACAAAAGGAGGGTCACGCTATACAGGTTATACACCTTTTTTTTTTTTAACTTAATATGTCATAAATATTCTTCAGTATAGAATGAAAAAGGAAGTTACTAGTAGTTTATATATAGATACAAGTACAGATCCATATGTAGACACACAGGCACATGATTTCTTTTTTTTTTTTTTTTAATTTTTTGAGACAAGAAATCACTATGTAGTTCAGGCTTACCTTGAACTCATTATGGAGCCCAGGCTAGCCTCAAACTTGTGGCAACTCTAGTGCAGCCTCCTAAGTGCTGGAATTACAGGCATGTGCCAACATATAAGAGTATTTCATTATTTTAATCAGCAGGTTTTTTTTATTACAAGTGACGTGTAACATGTTTCCCATATTTGTTCTCTATTTTTCTTATTTTGTGAATTGTCCTATTCATGTAGTTTATTTACTTTTCTAGGAATCTTTATATTTTTCTTGTATAACTGTTCACATATAAAGTTATGAATCTTGTTTGTAATATATATAAGGTATATTTCCAAGGTTTTTTTTTTTTTTTTGCCTTTTTGATTTGTGTTTGTTTTCTTTATTTTTCCTGCAACTTTTTTTCTCTTCCACTCCCCCCCCCCCACACACACATACTGTTTTAATCCTTTTGTGCTGCTATAACAAAACACCTGAGACCGGGTAATTTAGACCATGGATGTGCATTAGTGTTATAGCAAATGCTGAGCATGTTTTAAAGTCTGGGTTCAATCCTCAGCACCAGGCTGGGGATTTAGCTCAGCGGCATAAGTGCCTGAATTGCAAATGCATAGTCATGAGTTCAATCCCCAGTACCAATTTAAAAAACAAACTAAATCCTCAGCACCATAAAGAAAAAAGGAAAGAAGAAAGAAAGAAAGGTTGACAGACAGACACATTTTCTCTACTTGAAGGATGAGTTTAACATGAAGATGACAGCAGGTTTTATGTCTGGTGAGGGCTGCATTCTGCTTCCAAGATGGTGCCTGGAATATAGTACCCTTCATACAGGAGGAATGTGGTGATCTCATGCAGCAGAAGGTGGAGAAGGGTATGGGTGACTAACCCCTCTGTCAAACCCATTAATAATGACACCCAATCCCATTCAGGGAAAAGGAGCTCTAAGGACCTAATCACTTTGTAAAGACTCCACCTCTTCATACTGGTTTACAGCATCTGAATTTTGGAGGAAACACATGTAAACCACGGCACATGCTAATTTCATATATGTACCTGCCTGTACATATGTTAGTTCTGTGATTTGTTCATCCATGCACTAGGGCCTGTGGTTTTAATTACCGTAGCTAAATATGTGATAAAGCAAGCGCTTCTTGTATTTTCCTTTTTTGAGATGTTCCCCACCACTACTTTGATGTCATTAGAATCCTTTTGTCAAGTCTCAAATGTGTTAATGTCTTGGTTACTTTTCTCTCATTGCTGGGACAAAACACTCATTGCCCAAAATGAAGGAAGAAAAGTTTATTCGGTTTACAGTTTCTGGAGTTTTCAGTCCGTAATCAGCTGCTCCAAGGCAGGATGGCATGGCACTGGGATAAATTTAAGGCAGCAGCCAGAGCAAAAGTAGGAAGAGCAAGCTTCTTTTTCTCCTTTATATTGTATGCAGACCCCCTCCCAGCAGGTGTAGCACTCACAAAATCTCCTTGCCCTGCTTTATAGATGATAAAGAGCCTTGGCTCCCTGCTGAGTCTCTCAGTTAAACTTCTAAACTTCCTCAAGTTGATACAATACACCAACCATAACAGTTAAGCTTTCAGATACTTTGGGAGAGATTTAACATGTTTATAATATTGAATATATCTTTTATTTTATTTATTTTGTTTGTCTTTTTCATTTTTATCGGTACCAAGGATCGAACTCACAACTGCCTGCTTGCAAGGCAGGTGCTTATGCCACTAAGCTAAATCCCCAGCCCCCTTCATTTTTTTTTAATTTTAATTTTAATTTTAATTTTTTATCGGTACCGGGTATCGAACTCACGACCATCTACTTGCAAGGCAGGTGCTTAGGCCGCTGAGCTAAATCCCCAGCCCCTTATAATATTGAATATATCTTTAGTCTACTATGTCTTCAGTTTTCTTTAAATATGTCCATCATTTGTCTTGTCAAATGTTTTATTAATGCCACTAGAATTGTTTACATTTTATTTATTTTATTTTAAAGAGAGAAAAGTAAACAAAAACAAAAACAGTAATACAGAGTTTCCAAATAGGATAATAAACAAACAATGGTTAATATAGCACATATATCACATATTGTTTCCTTCAAAGTAGTTCTTCAGATGAACTGTTTACTTTTAGCAGTGTGACTAGCATTTAGATTTTGGTCTAATTATACTACTGTAAATAAGAAGGTAAAATGCCTTTTTAAAAGTAGGACTTTTTATTTTTTCTTTCTATCGAACTCACGACTGCCTGCTTCCAAGGCAGTGCTTATGCCGCTGAGCTAAACCTCCAGCCCCAAAAGTAGGACTTTTTTTTAGAGATAAACTATCTAAGCTTCCTTGTAATCAGGAATAAACTGCCAGTCCACCTCTTCTCAGTTAATAAGAATGGACAAAAACAAAGTTAGAATTACAATTTTAGCTATTGATATATCCAAGTCTATACCATTATACAAGAATTAAAAATAGTAAATTAGCCAGGCTGGGTCATGCACGCCTATAATCCCAGCTACTCAGGAGGTAGAAGCAGAAAAATTGTAAATTCAGAGCAAAACTGGGCTAGCACGACCTCATATCACAAGGAAAAATTTTGTTTGTCTTTTTGGTACTGGGGATCCATCTCACGACCTTGAACTTGCCAGGCAGGTGCTGTGCTGCTGAGCTATATCCCTGGCCCAAGAGGAAACATTTTGTAAAGGGCTGGGGAATGTAGCTTGATGCGAGGCCTTGGGTTCAACCCAAGGAAGCAAAAAAACCCCATCAAATTCAAGGCTTAACTTGTGATTTTTCTGTGACTCTTATTCTGAAGCTTATGATATGCACAGTAGGTGGTGATATTTAGACAGTATACCATGATCTTCTTAGGTGAATGAATTCCCACTTTAGCAGGAAGTGGGGAGGTTTTCCGCTGTGTACCGCTAAAGTGTTGTTAGAAAAAAGGTGTGTTAAGAAAAAAGCCTGTCTTTCAATCTGGCTCTACCTCCCTTCCCTATTAACTGGTTAAAAATCAACCTTAGTATCCATTTTAGAAAGACTGTCTTGGGCAAAAAAGTAAAAGCCCACATGATCAAGTAACCGCATAGCAGAGCTCATCCTAGAACAAAAGTACTTTATATACTGAAGGGAAGAAGCACGTCCTTGAGTCAACCGGTGCCCTTGTGGGATGATCGATGTGCAAGAACCAGAGTGTGGGCCAAGTCACCTCCAAGACGGGATGAAAGCCAGAAACAGAAACCGAGGTGGAGGGAAGCGCTGGCCGCCGGCTGCCAAGCCACAGAGAGCTGCAGCCAACAGAGGGCTGCATCCGGCCGCTGGCCGCCTGTCATAGAGCAGCGAGGCTCTGACTGCCAGGAGTTCCTCTCATCTGTGCAACCCTGGATGGCCTGCTTCCCTGCGCAACGTGTCCAAGGGAAAAACTAGGAATTAAACAATCTGGTTTCACTTTTGGTAACCATGGAAAAGCCTCCTGCTTCAGACCGCAGGCCCTGTCCCTGCCCATCCCAAATATGCTCTCAGATCCATCACACACAGGAGGCAAACAGCGAGTGCCCCCAAATATCATGCAAACTAACAAAAGATCAGTGCTCAATGTGTATTTTCATTTGATTCTCTCTTTACCATTCATTAAATTACTGGTGAAAAAGACTAACTTTTCACAGGTAAAGCCATTAATCAAAGTAATCAAGTGTTGGGATTTCAGGCATGAATTCTCGTGACAGCTTTCTTCTTCTCCCTCTCTTCCTCCTCCTTTCATCCTGTAGTAGATATCAAACCCAAGTGCTCTACAACCAGTCCTTTTTATTTGTTAGGTTTCAATTTTTTTAAATTAGCATTATTTGTTAATTTTCAGACAGGGTCTTGTTGAGTTGCCCAGATGGAACTTGAACTTGTGATCCTTTTGCCTGAGCCTCCCTCACCGCTGGAGTTATAGGCATGTGCCGCATGCCTGGCTTCTGTTTGTTGTCTTCTGGGTTAGCTGACAGTTCTTCAGCATTCCTTGAGGCTAGGCTCTCTACAAAATAGATGCATGGAGTATCTCATTTATTCTAACAACCTATAAGGTAGATAATCTGCCAATATCATCCTCATTGGATAGGCTGAGAAAACTAAGACTCTTGGAGGTTGCGAACATTCTCAAGAGAGCACAGTTAGCGAGCATTGGAGCTGGGCA